ACCACCTGATAGACAAGTAGAGTTCAGAATAGACTTGTTACCAGGAACCACGCCAATAGCAAAAGCACCTTATCGATTAGCACCGACGGAGATGAAGGAGCTGATGATGCAACTTCAGGAGTTATTGGACAAAGGTTTCATTAGACCTAGTTCATCGCCCTGGGGAGCTCCGGTGTTATTCGTGAAGAAGAAAGATGGAAGTATGAGAATGTGCATTGATTACAGAGAGCTGAACAAGGCAACAATAAAGAATAGATATCCGTTGCCAAGGATTGATGACCTATTTGATCAATTGCAAGGTTCGAGCTATTTCTCGAAGATCGATCTTAGGTCAGGATATCATCAGCTGAAAGTAAGAGAGCAGGATATAGAGAAGACTGCATTCAGAACTAGATATGGACACTACGAGTTCTTGGTTATGTCGTTTGGACTAACCAATGCTCCGGCAGCATTCATGGATTTAATGAATAGGGTTTGTAATCCGTTCCTTGATAAATCCGTGATAGTGTTCATCGACGACATTCTGATTTACTCAAAAAGCCAGGAGGAGCATGGCAGACACTTGCGAGAAGTGTTAGAAGTCTTGAAGAAGGAGAAGTTGTATGCTAAGTTCTCCAAATGTGATTTTTGGATTCGTGAAGTCCAATTCTTGGGTCACGTGGTCAACCAAGAAGGGATAATGGTTGATCCAGCAAAGATCGAAGCTGTGATGAAGTGGGAACAACCGAAAAGTCCCACGGAGATCCGAAGCTTTTTAGGATTAGCCGGATATTACCGAAGGTTTATCCAAGGCTTTTCTTCGATTGCTACTCCATTGACAGCTTTGACCCACAAAGGAGCTACTTATGCTTGGAGTGAGAAGCATAAAGAAGCATTCGAGAAGCTAAAGAAGAAGCTATGCGAGGCACCGATACTTTCTCTACCCGATGGAGTTGAAGACTTCGCTGTTTATAGCGATGCGTCTAGGGTTGGATTGGGTTGTGTTTTGACCCAAAGAGAAAAGGTGATAGCATATGCGTCTCGACAGCTGAAAGAGCATGAAAAGAATTACCCGACTCATGATTTGGAGTTGGCAGCGGTAGTTTTCGCTCTGAAAATATGGAGGCATTACCTCTATGGCACGAAGTGCAAACTTTTCACTGATCATAAGAGTCTCCAATATCTCTTTAATCAGAAGGAATTGAATATGAGGCAACGACGCTGGCTGGAATTACTCAAGGACTACGACTGTGAGATACTTTACCATCCCGGTAAAGCTAATGTTGTTGCTGATGCTCTCAGTCGGAAAGTCAATCTTGAAAGGAAAAGGCCAAGAGCGTTGAGAATTGAAGTTGTCTCGACCATTGTGGAAAGTATAAAGAAAGCTCAAGAGGAAGCTTCTGAGAAAAATGACCGAAAGGAGGAACGTTTGGGTAAAACGTTGGTGTTTGGTACAAACGGTCATGGACTGAAGGTATTCCAAGATCGTATTTGGGTACCTAAGTCAGGAGGAATTAGAGATCTTCTGATGGAAGAAGCTCACAAGACCATGTATTCGATTCATCCCGGTAGCACTAAAATGTATAGGGACCTGAAACCCTACTACTGGTGGCCGACGATGAAGCTTGATGTTGCAAAGTATGTGGCCGAGTGTGTGACTTGTGCGAGAGTCAAGACACAACATCAGAAACCGTATGGGAGTTTAGAACCTTTACCTGTGCCTATGGGTAAGTGGGAAGACATTGCTATGGATTTTGTCACTAAACTACCCAGAACAAAGAATGGTCACGACATGATTTGGGTGGTCGTTGATCGATTCACTAAGAGTGCGCATTTCATAGCAGCCAGGGAGAAATGGTCTATGGAAAAGCTTGCGAATTCTTATGTGAAGGAAATTGTGAGACTTCACGGTGTTCCGCTAACAATTGTGTCGGATCGTGATAGTCGTTTCACCTCAAGGTTTTGGAAAAGTCTACAAGAGGAAATGGGTACCAAGTTATGTTTAAGTACAGCTTACCATCCGCAGACTGATGGTCAGAGTGAAAGAACGATACAAACACTTGAAGATATGCTGAGAGCATGTACCTTGGAATTCCTAGGTAATTGGGATGAACATTTACCGTTGGTAGAATTTTCCTATAACAATAGTTTTCACTCGAGCATTAAGATGGCACCTTACCAAGCTTTGTATGGACAAAAGTGTCGTACGCCGTCTTGTTGGCTTGAGGCTGGGGAAAAGCAGTTTATGGGACCGGAGATGGTTCATCAAACTGCTGAAAAGTTGAAAATAATTAGGGAAAGAATGTTAGCAGCTCAAGATCGTCAAAAGAGTTATGCTGACAAAAAGCGAAGACCGATGACTTTTGAAGTTGGGGATTCGGTTTTGCTTAAAGTCTCGCCGTGGAAGGGACTTATAAGATTTGGAAAAGGGGAAAGTTGAGTCCAAGGTTTATTGGACCGTTTAAAGTTCTTCAGAGGATTGGGAACCAAGCTTACAAGCTCGAACTACCAGAAGAACTGAATGGAATTCATAACACTTTTCATGTGTGTTATTTACGGAAGTTCACGGGGAAGTTCCCGACATGATTCCACTTTCGGAGTTGAGAATTGATGAGAACAAAAGGTTGATTGAAGAACCAGAGGCAATTGTTGACCGAAAGACTAAGAAGTTGCGACGCAAGATGGTCGAGTTAGTGCTTGTCCGATGGAAACACACGAATGGGCCGAATCTCACCTGGGAGACGGAGAGTGACATGTTGAGTCGCTATCCGCATTTGTTTGTTGATGTGTGATTCCGGGGACGGAATCATTCTAAGGTGGAGAGAATTGTAACGCCTGTGTTTCTGGGCTTGCCATTTTTAGCAATGTAATGGTCTAGGTTAACCTTTGTAACCCGTTTTGAAATAATAAGATTGTATTATTTGAGTATTATGTGTTTTGTGCTTAATTGCTTAATTATGTGGTTTGATTAATTAAGAATAAAAATAAGCGTCAAAATTTAAGTGTAAAATAAACTTGATATCTTTAGATAATGTTGTAGTAGTTGAAACAAGGTTTCCGAAGATATAAAGAATGCCGAAATCCGAGTTATAACGAGGAAGTTATGACCTGTCGAAGTTTCGCGACAGAACCGGCAACGCTGAATAACGTAAAAAGTGAAATTTACGTTAAAGCGATATTTAGCCTTAGTGATCTAAACGAGAATCGAAGATCTCGTTGTTAGTATCAAAGCGATAAAAAGTTAGGCAAGAGCGGACGTCAAACGAAGAAGTTATGAATTTATAACGAAAGTTTCTGTCCCGGCCTATTAAAAATAAATAATAAAAATAAAGTCAAAATTAGCCGACGGAGTCTAAACGAAAGTTGTAGAGCGTAGTCTCACCTTTCCGTGGATATAAAGAACGTCGAAAACGGAGTTCGTATGAAGAAGATATGAATTTCCGAAGTTTGATAAATAATTTGTATTTATTTTTAAATCAAAAATCCGGCATTATCCAAAGGGGGAGTCACAGATCTGATCCGAGGTACGCGCCGCGTACTCGAGTACGCCCCGCGTACAGCCAAAGTGTCGACACTTCGGATGACGCATGCAGTGACGCATTTCGGAAGCAGTACGGCTGCGTACTGCTGTACGCCCCGCGTAAATGAGGCTCCAGCCTCCTATAAATAGGATGCGAGGGCAGCCGGCCAAATTGCTAATTTCCTCTCGTTTTTGTGCCGAAGCTCTGCGTTTTTACCCCCGAAGCCATCCCGAAGCCCCGGTAATATTCCCGAGTCCCGAAGCGAGTCCCGAGATCCCGAAGATCCCGAGAAGTGCGGTTTCCGAGCCGAAGCTCTGCCCGCGAGAAGTTCGATTTTCGTAGAGATCTTCCAGATGCTGAGGATTACTACTTCTGCAAGTCGTAGTGTTGTCCGATCATCTTCTGATCAAGTGAGTGTATACTACCTTTCATAAACGCAATAATAATACAAGTATGGTTTGAGTGTATTAAGTTTATCGTCGTTTATACGTGCGAAGGCGTTGTTACTTTCTCCTAACGTATAACTATAAAGTATTTTATACGAGATACGTGTTATGTGTATATTTTGTTGTTATGTGTGTGAATGTATATTCACTTTCTTCTATCTTACAGATATGATTATTTCTATATGAAATACGTGTTATGTGTGTGTGCCTCATCTGTTATATGGAAAATGTATTGATCAAGCATGCTATACAGGTTTTGAAAATATGTATAAAAATGTATGTTTTTATCTACTAATATGTTGGGTAGAACATGGGTAGATAGTTGGTGTGTAATAAACAGATGAGAGGCCTCGTTGTTGTTTTGATCCAGTCATCTAGCGGAATTTAGATGACGACCACGGACTTTTCTAGATAGTCCAGTGGAACGCTAGCAGGCTCATAACCTGTAGGTGTTAATGAACTTGGGTGTTCATTCGCTGTATTCCATCCCCTCATGGTTGCCTTATTTGACTTATATTGCTGAGGAAACCCCGCAGCATGTGTTGTCACCCCGATGAAAATATTCTTAGATTAGGTCCCTTGTGTTAGTTATTTTAGGGACGTAAAGTGAGAATAACGGGAATGGGTAACTGGGTTATTGTTGGTTGATAATAATTAATTTAATTATTTATTGTGGGTTGAAAACCCTATATGCTCACCAGGCTCCCAAGCCTGACCCACTCAGTTTTATTTGTATTACAGGAAGTGGCGCAAGGGCGTAAGATGGATGAACCATCAAGTTGTTTTGTTTACAAGTCTACATATGTTTATATTTGTTATATGACTTGTAATGTATTCGTTTATGCTTATTGGTCTGTATCGGAACATGACACCCCGAGTTTTGATTATAATGAAAATACATTTCTTTTATGAAATGCTTCGGTAAACATTGTTTTATCATGTTTTGTTTTTGGGAACAAATTTCGCAACTCTTTCAAATCAAAAGGATTTACTCTGAATTTATTTTAAAAGCATAAATAAAAATCGGTCTTTTCTGACCGAGATTTTGGGGATGTCACACCCTAATATCTGAACCAACTTCGACACGTAATGTTTCGAAATATCTTATAAGTGCCGCTTTGTTTGCCTAACAAGGACCAAATTAAACACAATGATTACAAAATTTTTGATATAGCTCAAATCAAATCAAAACAAGTGATGATATTGATATCTAATACTTCTTGTTCTTACACAACAAATCCCTAATTTTGGTGTGGCAAACCATCCGGCACAAGAAGAAATGACGACTATTTTGCCTTTGTTGTTACGTAAATGTGGAAGTGCAAATTGGGTTGTATACACCGAACCCCAAAAGTTTATGTCCTGTTCAAATCAAACAGTTGGTAAATCCAAGGTGGTTAGTAAGTTGTGATTTTATTTAAATTTGATTATATGAATTAGATTAGTATATAGTACCATGAGTGAAATATAGTCCGAAGAACATCTTTGATCCTGAACGTAGCACACTCCCGCATTGTTCACTAAATGATCCACTTTTTCACATAAAATAAATTAATTAATTTAAGAAAAAAAAACATATCAAGAAAATGGGCATTTTATTTTGTTGTTTTACTTTCTCATTTATTTATTGGTTGTGGTTGGTTTATATTTTTATTAAATATAAAACTAATCCAATTATAAATAAGTCTTCCTTTATTTCTATTTAAAGAAATATTGATATTAGTATTCTTTTTTAAACTATGACATCATTTTGTAGATTCCTTACAATTTAGAATAAAATAAAAAATTGATTACGCATAATAGAATTTTATAAACAAATTAAAGGAAAAGATATTTTGAGAAAAAAATAATAAATAATTTAGAAGTGAGAGGTTGGTCAACGAACAAGGAGCAAAGGTAACAGTAATTAAACACTCACAGGTACCAAAATGGTGGATGGTTTCGTCGACAAACCGCTTACAGTCATCGAGCTTCGAAACGTCGGCGAAAATCACGATCACTTCCGGCGACCCCAACTCCCTCGCCCTCTCCGCAACCACCTCCAGCTGTTCCTTTCTTCTTGCAACCAATGCTAAACGCGCTCCTCTTTTCGCATATTCATACGCCAAATACTTCAATTCAATCAGTTCACAAACACCGAACCCATCTTTTGTTAGTTAATCTCAGTTTATAATGCTGATTACTAATGAAAATTCAATGCAAATATCGATGATTCAACAGTAAAACTGCTTGTACTTTACCTCGCCAATACCAGAAGAAGCTCCGGTGATCAGCGTTACTTTTCCGGCGAGGTCTTCAGGGAAAGCGAATTTAATGAAGTAGTTGAAGAACCTGAATACTAAGACCAGGGGATAAAGCAATAGTAACAGGATAATGGTTAAAATAGGAAGAATAAGGTTTAAGAGCTTGTGAATGAGATCCATGAGAGTATGTATTTGAGTTTATGCTGTAGGGAGGAAGACGTAGTTAAGGGCATACATACAGAATGTTATCATACACGGCACTAGTTTATAATTAATATTTTAGCCGGCATTCTCTATGTATAGGTATATACGCATAATAATATATAAAAGATTAATTAATGTCTCACATATTAAAAATACGCTGTTTGTTTTAATTTATGTAGTATTAAGCTCGACCGTTTTCTAGTTTATGTAAAAAGTTAGTAGTTATAGGAAAAGTGGAAAACTAGTCATGGTATATGTGTTAGCATGATAAGTAATGCCATGAGTTTTTATTTAGCCTTTTAGATCTTGGTAGTGAATATGTCGAACTCATTAACAACCAAAATCAACCGTTTGTCCTTCATATTTTCTTACCCTTCAAATGGATCTTGGAGTGTGTCCCAGATCTCTTTAGCAGACTTGCATAGTTTGATGTGCTCGAAAAGAAAAGGAGGAACACCAAACACCATTTCAGAGAATACAACTTGATCAGCATACAACTTCTTAAGATCATCAACTGTTAGAGGAGCTGGACACGTTTCATATTGACCTATAAGCTGAGCAGCAACATCTCTTACAGTTGTTCGAACTGGAACATGAGGACCTTCTTTGACGGATCTCTAGATAGATTTACATTTTTCTTTTCCAAGTAAAAATCTCTCCATTATTACTTTCCAGTGATCATATTCTTCAATAACTAACAATGGGGCACGAGTAGGGCAACCCACACTATTTGCTATTTGTATTGAATACATTTGTTGAGGATTGGAAGCAGCTATTGAAGTTAAGATATCTTGAGCAAAAGTAGTATATAGTAGAACTTTTATCCTGAACACATAAATGATTGAAATACCAAGGTAATTTCAAATCAATGATAATCTGATATTGTGGATTCAAAGGATAACCACTCAAGCTCTGATACCAATTGTGAGAACAAGGATGATCTGATGCGCAGAGATAAGGTTTGAAAACTCAAACCTTGAATGAATACTTAAGATCAATGTCTACTTACTAATAAGTGTTCCAGTCAAGTCTGGCAAGACCAGTCAAGTAAGTACTTCAAACAAAGTATTCACGGTATAAATGAAGAGAGAAGATAATGATCAATGTAAAGATATAAAATGAAGAACAGTAAGAATGTTTCTGAGAGAAAGTTAGTAAAATCACTAGAATTAAATGAAAGATCCGACATTGACTTTGCATTGAAAGTTCCTATAAATAGGAGTCAAAGTTACATCTAAAGAACTAGGATACTTACATAGGACTGGACAATAGAAATGTTTCTGATATTCTGATTATCTAATATTACAAAAGACTAACTCCTATGAAATGTCATATCAATACAAAGACAAACTTTAATAAATGCATAAAGACAAAATATATTGACTCCGGATTAGCACCCATTCTGGACATGAGGATCATTTCGGAATGCCTTCACTACAGCTTCTTATCTTCTACTCTGTGACAACCCGATATTTCAACTCTATGTAAACGACTTAAAAAGTCAAGTATTGTAACTACGTTTGTTATAATGAAATTAACTTCGAAAATAAAATATCCAAAAATCACTAACTAAATTACCTATTATGTTAGATGTCAATAAACCGTGATCCTACGTAAAAAGAACGCCCAAATCTGACTTCGTATAAGAATGTTATGAATTTTCCAAGTTCCACTTAGCAACGGACAGCTAAAAACTCGAAACAAAGATCGAGAAACTTTTGACCAGAATGACCTAAATGAGAATCGAAGGTCTTGACAATGGTTTTTGAACGGTAAAAAGTCTGGCAAAAACAGACGTCAGATAATGAAGTTATGAATTTTTAAAGAAATTTTCTTACCGTGACCTTTTAAAAATAAATAATAAAAATAATTTCAAAATTTGCCGACGGAATCTAAACGAAAGTTGTAGAGTATAGTCTCACATATGCGTGGATATAAAGAACGTCGAAAACGGAGTTCGTATGAAGAAGATATGAATTTTTGAAGTTTATTAAATATTAAATCTATAATTTTTAATGAAAACTTCGGTATTATCCAAAAGCTGAGTCACGCCCGAGTACGCCCGAGTACGCCCAGCGTACTCAAGGCCTTGGCCTCGGATCGTCCATGTCGTACCCTATGCGAAGCTACGTCCAATCCCATCCGGGGGTCCGAGCTAGTCGAGGATGTGCGCATGTGTGAAGCACAGGTACGCCCCGCGTACGGAGGCAGTTCACACCCCCTATAAAAGGGATGCGAGGGTTCCGAAGAAAAGGGCCATTCTCTCTCATCTCTCTTACGTTTTTGCCTCGTTTTTCATTCCTGTGCTATCCCGAAGCCCCGGTCACATTGCTCAAGTCCCGAGGGTCGTTTGTGCTCCCGAGATTCCCAAGAAAATCCGCTTTCTCGAGTCGAAATTTTGTCCAGTTTTCATCCCGCCTTCTCCGATCTTTCAAGTGAGTTCATACCCCTATAATTCACACTTTTAAACCTTTTATAAGTACTTTTATACGCTTTTAAGGGGAGGAATACAACTAAAACACTCGATTATTATTGTGTGTTATATAAAGTTTCATTATTCGCTTTTTATCAACGGAATCATATGTGATTTATAACTATTATAGTGAAACTTTCATATGCAAATTACACCACGATAACATATTATCTTTTGAAATAAGAAATGATTTATGTATTTATGTAAATCAGACACTCTGCTTATACTATATTTATGTGTGTCGGTTTTGGCACTACAAAAAAATATACTTTTCATAACAAGTGAACATTTTCACTAGGAATTACTATACTAACAAAACGCACTTTTAGAAAACTATAATAGGTATAGTTTTACGAGAATACTGCGAACTTTTACATACATGGAAATACTATTTCAAGAAGCTACTTTCATATACAAGAATAAACGAACATTTTCACACGTAAATCTGTTTTATACTAAGTTTTGTGAGACATTAAACTTCACGTACACTCGAGTACACATTTCAAGTCCTGTATTATATACCAGAATCCCTTGGAGGGGGAGCATGGTGTTTGTGTATAGATCTATACGGGATTGACAACCCCGCACCCTGACTGTTAGCTACAGTACACCATTTGGGGTGACAAACGTCAGAACATTCCAACGCCTGAAGAACGTTGTGTATAGGCATTCGTTGTCAATAGCATGGTTATAAAACTCACATAGAGTATTAAAAACACATTGATTTACGGGGTTTTTCAGATGTAATGGAGGTTTTATACGTACATAAGTTCATTTACTTTATGCATGAAAAACGAAATTGTGATATAAGTTTGGAACTTCTAACCACTACTCATAAATGGGAAAACATCAATTTTTTAACATATATTGTTCTTGATTTAAAGCTACGTTTATACCAGTAGGAAACATGGGATTTTCTAGAGACTAACAAACAAAAACGAACCATTTCATTTTCATACAAATACTATCATTAAATGCTTATGAAACTCACCAGCTTAAATGCTGATCTACTCTTTCAAAACTACTTGTATGTCCTAGGGACTCAGTAATTACAGGTACTAAACGACTTTTAAAGAAGCAATGCTGCGGCACTAGTTTAAATTCATATTTTGGCATCATATTGTAATTGGTTTTGAACATGTACTCTTTTAAACAATGTAAACTTTCAATTATATATATGATGGTTGTATTGCTTTCTTTACTATGCATTCATTTGTTACGTTACCACATGAAGTCATCCGCCCCCCGAACGTTTCCGCCGTTCCGGTTTGGGGGTGTGACATACTCTTCTGGTCCGGACAGATTCCGGACCACTCTTCACATTTTGACTTCGGACCATTCTTTGTTTTGGAACATCTTCACTTCAGAATTAGATCTTAGGATTGCTAGAGGTTCACTTTTAGGTTCCAACAAACTCATGACGTGAGCATTATTTCTCACAACGTGAGTAGAGATGGCAATGGGGGCGGGGAACACAGGGGACCCCAATCCATTAAACCCCCGTCCTCACCCCCAACGGGAACTGGGGATCCCCAACAGGGAAACGGAGATTTCTTTTTCTATTTTAATATGCAAACTTTTACATAAGAAAAAACCCTAAATTTCAATTTTACCAGCGTAAGTTTAAAAATTTTATAAAATATATAAGTACCCATAAATTGCATAAAAAATATAAATAAATTTTCTGCCAATTTTAAATACATACATGAAAAATCAAGTAGAAAAAATATTAGATTGATATTTTAGGTAAAATAAATCAACCAAAGAGAAAAAAATATACAAGAGTTTAAATTAGATAAAAGAAAAAGCAAAAGTATAATTTCAACCAAGTAATTACTAATGAGTTAGGTTATTTAGATCAAATTTTATGTATTATAAACTCTACTATAAATATATGTTTTGTATTATTTTTATATATTAATATATATCGGGGGCGGGTTCAGGGTCGGGGATTAAGAATATCCACACCCCCATCCCCATCCCCATTTTTTTTATTAGGGGATTCCCATCCCCATCCCCATGACGTGAGAAGTCGTCCAGACATGTTTCGGAGCTACAAACACAAATGAAGAAGCTACGAGGTGATACTGATGGGTTATAGCTAATAGAACATCCTATGTGCTCATACAAACCCTAATACTTGGATATAGATTTCTCTATTGTACATGCAATTCATCCAAGACTTATAAACCCTAGATCTAGATATGTATTTCGAAATAGACATAAGAATACATATCTAGGTGATTACCTCTTCTTCAATGGCTTGAATTTCCTTGTCTTTGGATAAATCATAATTAATCCTCTTTCTCCATAAATCATTCTGTCCAGTTGCTTTGGTGAAGGCAGCCCAAAAGGACCATGCACAACCGGGTCAAGTACATACCAAATATAGTTACGGGCTTAGACACTAATACAATAGATACAACCATGACTCACGATGTGAGCATTAATTCTTTTTCTCTCTCTCCCTCTCTCTCTCTCTCGTTTGTTGAGGCCGTTACTGCATCCCGAGCCCGACGATCACGAACCGCTGACCATTTCTAGATAGATTCTATTAAAGTACGTTACAAGTAAGTGCATAGTTACTTTCATCTTACACACACACACACACACATATATATATATATGCAGTATTTTATATAAATTACATGTTATGTGTGCATATTTACTTGAGATCTGTGCTAGAAGAAAGATTTAAGCTTCTTTGTTTTTCAGATCTAAACCGTATATGTATTTTGATCTCAGATCTAAACCTTTTTCTTCCGATCTAGGCTATAGATGTATTATATTTTCAGATCTGAACCTTTTCTTCAAATCTAAAACTATAGATGTATTTTATATCTACAAATATGTTAGTTATAACATGGGTAGATAAATGATGAGTTATGAAAGATGATATAGATGAATATTGGTAGATGCACCACAACCTGTAGATGTTTTCGAACTACGATGCACTCTAAACATCCTAGCAGTTGCGCAAAAGGATAACATCAGCAGCTGCGCCTAATAGAGAACGTCATAATCCTGGCAGCTGCGCCTGAATGATAATACTGACAGGTGCGCCTAATAGATAACATTGGCAGTTGCGCCATAGGCAAAGATGGACTTCGTGCTTATTCCATGGGAGAATCCTTAGGAATGAAAAAGTGAATGGCAGTTTATTCTTAGGGTAGAACCTTAAGAGTAAAGAAGATAATGGGGATGGGTAATTGGGTTGAATGCTTAATGTTTAAACATAATAATTATATTATTGTGGGTTGAAAACTCTATGTACTCACCAGGTTTCCCAAGCTTGGCCCACTCAGTTTTCTTTATATTACAGGTAGTGGCACAAGAGCATAATTGGACGATCTGACGAGAGATTATGGATTATAGACCAGTAGAAATAAATAGAATATTTATAAGGTCTATGTTATTTTAAGGCCTATGTTGCCTATGGTGTTCTGTTTATGCTTTTGATCTGTAATGATGATGACATCCTGGGATTTTAATGCAATGAAAATACATTTCTTTGCAAATGTTTTTATCTATATTTTATGGGAAAAAAATTCGCAACACGTTTTGTTAAAAGGATTACTTTGATTTTGAAAATAAAACATAAACAAATCGATCTTTTCTGGCAGTGAATTTGGGGATGTCACAGATTCTATCTTAATTAATGTATTTTTAATAAATAGAACTCCATCTTCTATTCTAAACGGTAAAAATCCTTTTGAATTAATCTATAAACATGTTCATGTGTATGATAAAATTCATGTGTTTGGATTTTTAGCCTTTGCCACAAAATTGAACAATAATGATAAATTTTCTGAACGTTCTGGAAAATGTGTTCTCATTAGATATTCTAATGTTAAAAAGGATACAAGTTATTTAGTCTTGATAATGGTTCTTGTTTCTTTTCCAGGGATGTGAAATTTTATGAATCAGTTTTTCCTTTCAAGTTGGCATCTAAATCAAATGAAAAGTCTTAATTTCTTGAGACAACTTTTTTGAATAACAATAACCCTTAGGACCCATTTTCCACTTATGAACTTTTATTTTCTAATTTTTTTTATGATAATCAAAATAGTAGGGTTTTAGGTTGTAATAGTCAGGATGGTTATATAGTTGTTAATCAACCATCAAGTGCAACTAGTTTTGGTATTGATGGTAGTTCAATGCTCTTGGTTGTGAAACTTCTGGTTTGCAACCTGAGACTATTACATCTGATCCCACTAGTAGTACTGAGGAATATTTTAATAATAGTATTTCTTCTTTAGATTCTCAGTTGTTAGAAGTTAGAAAATCTAATCGTGAGTCTAGATTTCCTAAAAAATCTAATGATTTTGTTATAGAAAGAAAGTATAAATATGGAATTGAAAGATCTGTTAATTATTCTTTCCTTAGTATTGATAACAAGTGTTTTGCAACAAATTTGAATAAAACTATTAAACCACAATCTTATTATCAAGCACCATTGGATTCCAACTGGGTAAATGCTATGAATGAAGAAATTGAATCTTTGTATAGAAATAATACGTGGGATATTTTTGATTTACCTACTGATAGAAACCCATTGGTTGTAAATGGGCATATAAAATAAAGTATAAATCAAATGGTGAAGTAGAAACATTTAAGGCAAGGCTTGTAGATAAGGGGTATAACCAGAGGTAAGGGAAAGATTTTGATGAAACTTTTTTGCTTGTTGCTAAAATGGTTACTTTTAGAATTGTTATTTCTCTTGCAGTTAATTTTAATTGGAATTTATTTCAATTAGATATAATCAATGCTCTTATTTATGGGGAGTTAGATGAAGAAGTTTATATGTCTTTACCTCCTGGTTATAATGATAAAGATAATAACAATGTTTGTAAGCTACTGAATTCATTATATGGGCCGAAACAGGCTCCTAGAAAATGCAATGAAAAGTTATGTGGTTTTTTGCATGAGTTTGGTTTTATTCAAAGTGTGAATGATTTTTCCATGTTTGTTAAATCTTCTAATGGTAAAATTATTATATTACTTATGTATGTTGATGACATCATTTTGTGTGGTAATTGTGATGAAGAAATTGATAAAGTTAAAAGTTTTTTGAAATCAAAATTTTTGATCAAAGATTTGGGAAAATTAAAGATTTTCTTAGGGATTGAAGTTGTAGACATAAACAAAGGTGTTTGTTTGTGTCAAATGAAATATTGTATGGTATTGTTACATGAGTTTGGATGTTAAGCTGTAAACCAATTAAGATTCCTTTAGACTGTAATGTTAAAGTTAGAAGAGAAGGGATTGATGCTAATGATGTGCTTGTTCAAAATGTTGTTCTTTATAGAAAAAATTGACTGGAAAATTCATTTATTTGACTATTACTCGTCCAGATATTTCATATGTTGTACAAGTGTTGAGTCAGTTTATGCACTCACCAAGGAAATCTCATTTTAATATTGCTATAAGGTTAGTTAGATATTTGAAATCAAATCTTGGAAGGGGTTGTTCTGTTACAAAGAGTAATCTAAATTTAAAATTTTTTGTTAATGCAAATTTGGCCAAGTGCTTAGTATCTAGAAGGTCTATTATAGGTTATATTGTGTTTCTTGGCAATACTATTGTCTCATGGAAATGCAGGAAACAAGATACTGTTTCACGGTCTTCTACTAAATCCGAGTATAAAGTACTTGGTGTAATTTCCTATGAAATTATGTGGATTTTAAAAGTATTATTTGATGTTGGATTGAAAGGTCTAACACATGTTCCTATTTTTTGTGACAATGAGTCAGCAATAAAACTTGTCCATAATCTTGTATTTCATGGTAAAAACACAAAACATTTTGATATGGACATTCATTTTATAAGAGATAAGGTTTCAAAAGGTGTTGTTGAAGTTCATAAAGTAAGTTCAGATTTTAATTTGGCAGATATTTTTACTAAACCTTTAGGAGTTGTTAAGCATGATTGGGTTTGTAAAAGTTTAGGGCTTGTTGATCCTTTTCAAGATAAGTGCTAAAACTATTTTGAATTTTAAGTTTGCGGAGGGGTGTTGAATTATAAGGATTCATTGTTCCAAGCTTATAATTCAGATTGTATCATTTTTATATTTTGTTTATATATATATATATATATATATATATATATATATATATATATATGTGTGTGTGTGTGTGTGTGTGTGTGTGTGTGTTACAGTTTGATGCAGGGAGGTTTGTTGTGAATACATTATTAAAGTATTGAACTAGAATAATTAAATAAGAAGATATGGAATACGTAGGTTTTACCCGACCCTATTCAAGTTTTGGTGATCCGGATGTATAAATTGGTGATCTGTTTAAGAACTGTAGACATAAACACATACATTCATCTTCATACTGATATTCTTCTCTTTTTTGTCATTAGTGTTTTCTGTTCTTTTATCTTGTCTATTTTTTTCTGTTCTTAATCTGTTTGAGAGTAGAATAGGTGAGAGATTTGTAGTTAGGATCTTTGTATAGAGAAGAGAGTTTTGTGTAGTGAGGTTTGATTTGTAAGTATTGCTTGAAAACCAATTGGTTCTTAATAAATAAGAGTTGTGGAGGTTGTGTAATATTGTGTGTTGATGTGTTTGAGTTTCATTTGAGTATGCCAATTTGTAGTGTGACTACAATAGTGTCTTGATTAATATTTATGACAATTTGTAGTGTGGTGAAATCTACTTCTTGTTTGCATCTCGCCTAGTTACAAATCATGACTAAACTCGAATAGATTGCAAACTATTATACACCTTTCAATTTTCATAAATTTGATTACTTGAGTGACTTATAGATATTTATCTCATTGTTTTCACAAATTCCAATCGATCTTTCATGAAGAAGCCTACTGATTTTTAAAAAAGGAAAATATCAGCTAACTAATGACATGTCACTACTTATTATGTCATGTCATCAATAATTAGTTCAAGTCATCATTTAACCTATAAGACCTAGTTACCAATGACTAATCTTCATATATATATATATATATATATATATATATATATATATATATATATATATATATATATATATATATATATATATATATATATATATATATATATATATATATATATATAAAAGTGTTTTTTTGTACAATAACTTTATTTGAATTGTTTTTTGAACATAATACCCATGATATTTTTCAAACGATTTTAAAACATAATTACCATCCTAAGTTATTTTCTCTTTTTTTTTCCCTTTAATTATTGTTTACTGGTAACTGACGTTACGCTTATGAAATTTGAAAAAAAATATATAGTTTATTGTTTTTTTTAACAAAAACTTTACTTAAATTATGATTTTTTAATTTTGTTTTTTCGAACGATAGTTACCTTTATAATTCATTTTCTCTAAATACAAATACGTTAATTAATGGATACTTTCGAGTTTGGTCCGCTTTATTTTGTTTTTGGACTGTTGTGCATCTGATGTGTAATTGTTGACTTTCAGACGCCACGTGTACAGTGTGAAGAACGACCACCTGTGCATTTTCGCCACCTCCTCTTTTCTTCCTGGCTTCTACTGTTCTACATGACCATTCCCTGCTATTTTTGATACCAATAGTCATGGATTTTCTTCACAGACTCCTCAATTTGATTGCTCCTATAGTAACCCTCAATGCACTCTTCTTCCTCACTCCGCTTTATTGCGTTTTCAAAGTTTTATGCTATATCAATCGTTCCATTTCTAAGGAAGACGTCACCGGAAAAGTTGTATTGATCGTCGGAGCATCTTCAGGAATCGGTGAGGTTCGTAAATCGTAAATAATCCATTTTACTTCGAATTTAACATTAAGTTATTCAAATTTCTGAGTTCCTCTTTCAGCGATAATTAGGGTTTATAAATTGTTAAATAAGTTCTTCCATGTTCATCAAAATGAAGCATATCGCGTATGAGTACGCCAGAAGAGGATCATATCTGGTCCTGGCTGCTAGAAGAGAGAAGAGTCTCCGTGATGTTGCGGAAACCGCTAAGTTACTCGGTGCACCGGAAGCCATCGCGATTCCGACTGATGTTTCCGATATTGATGATTGCAAGCGACTAATCGACGAAACTATCAAGCGTTTTGGACGACGTAAGTGTCATTTCTTCACCAGTTTTAATTAAATCGTTTTCATTTCCTCCATAATCGAGATCTGAGTAACATAGGGCTTCGTTCCAGACTTCCAGTTGACACTTATTTAATCGGAATTGTTAGAACTTATTCATTTTCAGGGGCTTTAATTAGCAAAGATGATACGAACGAAATATTGGTCATGTTCTTGTTGAATTGATGCAGTAAATCATCTGGTGAATTGTGCTGGGGTGACACCAATGTGCATGGTAGAAGAGATAACAGATATCACAAGTTTCACATCAGTCATGGTAATCGTCTAAGTATTTTGTTCTTCACATTCTCCACAAATCCAAATCATTGAAAAAATTGTAATTTACAGGATACAAACTTCTGGGGTTACGTGTATATGACATATCTTTCAATTCCATACCTGAGAAAGACGAAAGGGAAAATTATAGTAATCGCTTCATCTGCTTCATGGATGCCTGCACCTCGAATGAGCTTCTACAATGTAAAAATAAGAACCAATTTATTATTTTTTATTTTCTTAATCTTTCATCGCTGAGATCTCAGATTTCCATCGTCACTTTCAGGCAAGCAAAGCGGCAGTAGTAAGCTTTTACGAGTCATTAAGGCTTGAACTCGGTTCGGACGTCGGAATCACAATCGTGACTCCGGGGTTGACGGAATCGGAAATGAGTCAAGGCAAAATCATGAATAAAGATGGGGAGATGGTAGTTGATCAGGACATGAGAGATGTAAGTGATCGATGTATATATGTAATGTTTATTTAGAGATGAATTAATTTCTGTTTTTGATAGGCGGAGATGAGTATTGTGCCGATTGAGTTGGCGACGGCGTCTGCCATGGCTGTTGTTGATGGTGGTTGCCGGGGAGATGTGTACTTGTCGGAGCCGAAGTGGATCCAGACGACGGCGTATTGGGTGGTGTTTTTCCCGGAGATGGTGGAGTGGGTGAATCGATGGTTTTTATGGGTGAAGGTAGGGGCGTCGCCGTTGGATGCACCTAGCAAGAAGCTGTTGGATGTGCCGGGACTGAGGCATCTGGCGCAGCCGGATTCTGTCAGATCGCCGGAGATAAAGAAAGGATAATTGGTAAAATCTAATATGCTGTACGGACGTAAGAAGAAAAAAAATAAAAGCCCTAAAATATGTAATTTTGTAGTATCGTTGTATAATTATAGACGAGAAAATGATAGAAGCAAAGTAAACTATAAGGTAAATTACATTATTTGTTGCTCGTGAATGTGCTAAAACGTAAATTTAGTACGTGGGTTTTAAAAGTTAATTCGGATCATTCCTAATGTCATTAAAAGATCACTACTAGAAAAATAGCCTTTTACGACGCGCAAATTACGACACTCATTAATATATGTTACGCAAACGAGAGTGACATTAAAAAAGTGTCATCTCTTCAGAAAATTTAAGGATTTAGGTCACGCATTATTTCGTGCCTTTAAATTAGTGTCAAAAGAAAAAAAAAAAATAAAAACACGGAGGGCGCTGTACCTTAAATGCGCGCCCTCTATATGTGTCGCTTTATAATTTTAATGAATGCGCGTTCCTTAGTTACAAGCGGGAAAAGAAAAGCCAAAAAATTAGAAAAGCCCGCTACCCTCCCTGCCCTAAGCATTTTCACGCATCTTTCATTCTCCTCACACTATTGTGCAACTTCTCAATCAAAGATCGAAGGTTACGATTTCATCTCCATCTCTCGACTTAATCATCTGAATCAAGAAAAAGGGCTTCTGATTTCCATTCATCTACTTCATCGTTGCTGTAATTTCACCTTCTTCATCTCTCTACTGTTATTGAGAATACTCGCCAATAGTTTTCTTATTCCCCACTCGATGTTGAAATTTTCAGAAAAAGCCCTAATTAAGTATTATACTCTCAAGTCTCAATATTAGAATCCAAATATTGATTCTCGTTTGTTTCTTATTCCCCACAGATAAATCGAAAAAGGGGAATTAGAATGACGAAGGTAGCGGGAGTTTTGGTCCGGTGGTCGTGGTTCATCTATCGAGAAAGGAAGATGAGAACGCAAGCAGCCATGGTGGCTCGATGATGGAAATCAATCGAGAAAGGGGAAGCACCTATGGTGCGGGATCGATTTGACAAAAGGAGAAGGGAGAAACAGCGACGCTTCTCTTGTCTGCCACAGCTTGGGGGGGGGGGGGGGGGAGGTGCTCCGGCGGTCTCCTTGGCTGTTCTTCCTTGTCACCAGCAGATTACATGTAGGGAGGGGACTCAACTAGTCCGATGGAGTAGGGCAAGTAACGACTGGTAGATCAGGATGATCGATCTATTCATGAGGAGGAGGAGGAAATTATTGGTTCCCGGTGAGCCTTCCTTGGCTTCTTAGACTCCGTCATCGGTAGAAATCGGAGGACCTTTGGGGTTTGGATAGATCGAAGGAAGAAGAATGAAGAAGTGGTGGTCTTTGGTGATTGAAGGTAAACGGATGGGGTTTTCTTGAACCTCACAGGTCGTATTCTTTCTTAGATTTAATGCTTTCCATGAATCTTTTTTGGTGATTGAAGGTAAACGGATGAGATCGATTGATCTATATTATCAGCACCGAATTGACACTCGTGTGCCCATTGAAATCACGGTATGTTTGATTTCAGATTATTCATTTCATGTTTCTATTTCCTACTTAGCATCTGAGATTGGTTAATTTCTTTACTTGAAAGATGGGAGAAATGAAGAAATTAACTGGTGGAAGAAGGGAAGATAAAATACGTAGGATTATCAGAAGCTTCGGCTTCAACCATTAGAAGAGCCCATGCTGTGCACCCGATAACTGCTGTTCAACTAGAGTGGTCTTTATGGTCCAGGGATGTGGAAGATGAAATTGTTCCTACTTGCAGGTTATCATTATTCGAATTTTTTTTAGTTTAAAGGCTAAATAATATAATATTTCAAACACTATATATAATCGTTTTGATCATGAATTGATAAACTAATAAAAGGATTCAAAGATGGCTGAGAATTTGGTAGAGGGCGATTTTCGTCAGGTCTGCATAAAACAAATTGAATCAGATTCTTTATCAATTATAATATAAAATCATTAAACTGAGTTTGAGCTTGTGTTTATATATATATATATACTTGCTCTTTTTGTAGAATCTACCAAGGTTCCTACCTGAGAATCTTGAGAATAATAAAATGTTGTACGAACGAGTTAGTGCGATTGCAGTAAAGAAAGGGTGCACTCCATCACAACTAGCATTGGCGTGGGTTCACCACCAGGGGAAAGATGTTGTGCCCATACCAGGAACCACTAAAATTGAAAACCTTCAGCAAAACATTGGAGCTTTATCTGTGAAACTAACACCACAAGACATGGCTGAACTTGAATCTCCACTGGGTAATTTCTTGTCCTTCCCAACTCCCAAGTCTTAGTTATGAACATGCTTATGGATGTTTGTTTGGACAAACATAACTTGGTCATTGATCCAATGTTCAACCGTCCATATAACTAATATTTCTGATGTTTAGTTGCTATATATTAACTCAGCTTCAATGACTCAGGTTTATGCTCTTACAAGAGAAAGGGATACACTACGTAGAGAGCAAAATAAAAGAAGTGATGCCACTGCGCTTTTAAAGGAAAAGGATGACATAATCACTCAAGTTATGGAAGAGGGTAATGAAATAGCTAACTGCTAGAAAAGAGGTTTCCCAAGTTCTAGATGAAGCTTTCAAAGACCACATTTTCTATACTACAGATGATGATGTTGTTCCTTTTTCATTCATATAGGTGAAAACCTTTCAAAGAAACAAGTTGTTCAAGAGTCTACAATAAGAAAACTATGGCACAGGTATGTTATGTCATATACTATCTTTCCTTTGGACCCTATAAATATTTAGCTGTACATTCTCTTATTATTTGAACATTGTTTTGCGAGATCCCTAGATTAGAGAGTTTGAAGAAGAAAAGAAAGGATTTATAAGCAAGCTACAGGTAATTACTTCTACCCTGCGACTATATTTTTGTTCCACAAAATATTTTACATACAGGCCATGAGTGTGGATGAATTACATCTAACAAATGTTTGTGGTTTTGGTTCTATTATTTTGGGCCACCACCTTTCTTTTCATCCCATTTAACATCAAAAATCTACTTTCCCCCTCATTCAAATACCAACTTATCTTTTTAAATTCTTTATGCTTCATCAGCAACCCAATATTATTCTATTAAAAAAATTATTATCTATTATTAGATTTTGTTCTATTAAAGATAACAAAAACAAAAAACTATTTATTAACTGCAAAAAAAAATTTAACTATTTTTTCATATATGAAAATAAACTATAACTAGAACAAAAAATTCCGATTTTTTTTGGATTGTACATGAAAATATGACAATAAAGTGATGACATAGCAAAGTTTCTTGTCTTGAATTTTTGACATATCATGATTTGAAAATTATATACATTATGAAGCTCTTTAAATGATAATAGCTAGCATTTCAGAACAGTGTTAGGTTACTTTTACCATTGACAAGGATCACAAGTAGAGTATAAGATGAATAACAGATAGTTCATCATACCCGAATTTTCTTCTTCTTTCTTGTTTCAATGTCCTGTCATATTTTTATCATTTCTTCTCTCATCATTAAATTTATTTAACTTTTTTCAATAACTTTCAGGCTGAAGAGAACAAAGTGGAAAATTTGAAGAGTAAGAAAGCAGCCACAGAGAAACTGCTGCAAGAAACAATAGAGAAAAACCAGTCTGAAGTTGCAATACAAAAGGAATACTATCTGAATGCATTAAGTGTAGCCAAGGAAGCAAAAGCAGTAGCAGAGGCACGAGTAAAATGATGAAGCTAGAACTGAACTAGAGATTGGCCTAAAGGAGGCCAGGGAACGAGAATCTATGCTAATTCGAACTCTGGAAGAATTAAGACACACTCTGTGCAGAAAGGAGCAACAGGTTTTCGCTTAAAATACTTTAGTTGGTCCACATAAGAGGCTTTTTTTAGTACAACTTGTTTGTGCCACGTCATTGTCAACCCAACAACTAAAACACTGAACATATCTACAATAACAAAAACCTTTTTATGATTCCCATTAATTTTTATTATATATATATCTATCTTATTCTCTTTTATATAAATAGATATATTCGAAATTCAACCAAAATAAATTAATAGTATAGAATTAAAATACAAGTTTTATATATTTTCTAAATTAAATTCTAATTTTCCACTTTTTAAAAATAAAATACTTATGTTTTAAATTAGATTAAAGTTAGTTTTCTAATATTTATGTATCTCCAAATGTTACTAAATTTCTAACACTTAAAATATAAAAAAAAAGCTTTTTGTCAGTTTAAGTATAATATATACTAGTTTACATTAAATTAAACAAAAAAGGAATTTTTACATGTAATTAATAAAATAAAAAGAATAAAAGATAAAGAAAAAACAATGAAAAACCTCCTATGTTTGATCTTGTAACTGCAGAAACCTGTGTGAACAAGATGTGGGTTTAAAATAGCTTTCTAATAGGAGATTTGATTTAGTCTAAAGCTTATTTGACCAAAAAGCTCCTAGTCTTGAAACAACTGCAACATTTGATCCCCAAACGGACAAGCTTTATACATATGATGATGAGCATTTTGCACTACTTCACAGGTATGAACTCATTATCATTATCATTATCATTACATTTTTTTAATTAAATTATCTTATTGAGAGTATTCTTCTCCTACAAATGTCTTGGTATACTTCTTCAGAAAGTTGATAACATGACTTATGTTCGTGATAAAATCGTCTGGATGTACAAACAAGCAATTAATCTAGATTTCAAGTATTCCAGCACCTTGATAATTATTACATTGCTATGTTTCACATTTAACCCTGTTTTCTAATATTGTTTTGGTTGAACATGTTATTCCTCAAATTTTAACAGATTCTTGAATTGTGACTCACCCCTGCAGCTTTCTGAATGCAGGCTTATTTTGGTGCTGGATTAAGTGGAGTTCTGGCTTGGTGTGTGCGAGTGGGAAGGAACCAACCCAATGCCCCCGGAGTTTCTGGCACCTTCCATCTTTACTTCCTATGTATCCAGGTTAATCTAATCGTATTAATTCATGTCTCAAAGTGTGTATTCCAATATCAGGTATCATGATTTGTGTATTTATAAAATTTTGAAATAGGGTCTTGTTCAATGCTTTAGCTGTGTTTGCTCTAAGGGAGATCAACTTATCAAAAGTAAGTTACTTTTTCACCCTTTTATTTAATATTTTTGTGATTGAATGAAAGTTTAATGAAAGTAATTGACAACCCTTTCTTTGTAAATGATGTTGTGATTGTGGGAGAGGTGTTGTGTTTTCTCTGTTGCTAGGTAACCTTCTCAACAACAACATTCTACTTAAGCAGGTGAGTAATCAGATTAAGGGAGACTTGTAATCATGTTTGACATTCCTTTCCAGTAACAAACAGAGTTGTATGATTATTTGTTAGTTTTATTAGGAATGTATAACCCATGTTAGCAATGTATTATTTTTGTTTAACATTTGAATGATTCTTTGTATGACATTATAATTTGTGCAATTTATTTTATTTTTTGAGTATGAAATTTTATTTTATATTATGCAATGGATTGTATTTTTTGTATATGGTATTTTATTTCTATTATGAGAAATTAAATGCAAATTTAATTTAAAAATTAATAAATATATAAATTTATTTTTTTAAACATTTAAATTTACGATACGCAAAAATG